ATAAATAACACATTTTATGAAAATTTTGTATATAATGTTAAAGGTTTAATAAATTGAAATGTAATATTTTCATTTGAATAACATTTCTTTGTACACAATATTTTTTGTCAACCTCCTACAACTTTTCTTCTTTTTATTTTTTATTTTTAGTCTTTTATAAAGATTTTTGTTGTTTGTATTGAAACTCCACAAAAGGTGTGAGATGTAGTTACCCATAAGATAATATATGTTCAAAAATATATATTTTAATAGTAAGCATTGTTTGTCATTAAACTTTGTTAATGATAATTACAAGTATAAATATATTGAAAATTATTCTCTCTTAAATTTGAATAAATATCCTTCATCATTTGTTAGAGTTAATGGGATGCGTGTATACTATTTGGCAACAATGTATTTAGGAACTCCTCTTGATAAAATTGATTTGTATTTAGATTCCATAGAGAAGATAAAAATGAGAATTAAATATGAAATGAAATTACTAAAAAGAATATACCTTGAGGATGAAGAACTAAAATAATCATTTAATTGAATTGACAATAAGCAAGCATGTCAAAAAATTACTAAATTGTACTATTACTACAAACAAATGGCATGCTTAAAATTGTAAAATTGAATTATTATCATTTTTGCTTTATTTTGAATGGCAACTTCATATGCATTACAAAATTTTTACTTTAACATAACAAAGTTTTTATCTGATCTGTTTGAATATAAATATGTCAAATTAAATTTAAAAAGTAAAGTATGTATACATGTGAATATTAAAATGCTAAAATGGATGCATAATTTATATTCATTAAATATATCCAAAATCACAAAATATAAAAAAGTTATACCTCATTTAATTTGTCAAAAGTAGTGACATATTTAATATCTTGTATTGGTTTGCTTAAATTCAAGAAAATATATTTGACTTATTTAGATTTACGATCTGATTAGATTTGATATCATTGGAGATATGTACCTCTTTTTATAATTATCTTGTGAAAGTCGAAAGGAAATCATAATAAAAAATTATAAAAATAATTGGTACGAACTTAAAACAAAAGCTAGTTTTCTAAATATTCTTTGCACATAGTATAATATTCAAAAAGAATTTATAACTTAAACAAAGTTATATAGTCAAATTTAAGATCTTTCGGAGTATAATAATGTTAATATTTTTAGTAATATTTATATATAATATAAATTTAATAAGCATCAATGATACTTACAATTTTTGTAGTATATCGTATAACAATATTTTAATATGATAACATTAAAATTTAAAATATACACTTTTTTAGTACGATATGACTAATATTCTATCGTTATAATTCATAAAAAAATTTTGAAATGCCTAAAGAATTTAAAAATATCAAAACACTTAGACAAAAAAATTGTGGGTTGCGACATTAACTTTAAACTATTTGATTATACAATTAAATTATTTACATAATTAATTTTTAACTAAAAGTTTGTGTTAAAACCAATATTCAAAATAAGTTGGGAGGCTATGCATTCAAGAGCTTTCTTAATGATTAATAGTCATAATTAATTAAAAAATAAAATTATCTTTCCTAAAAATTAAAGGAAACAATACTAAGTGAATGTAAATTATAGGAATGACTATAATCAATAAAGTTAATATCTCAAAAATTATTAATACTCTATGGCAATGTGTATCGAAACAAATTTGTAAGGGTTAAAAATTCTGAGAATATGACTCTCGAAATTTGAGAGAATCTAATTTTAGATTTTGATGATTTTTTCTCTTTATCCAATGTTTAAGTGAAAAAATAGCAAATTTTAATGAGCATCAAACTGTTTTTCAGACTGACAACTCATACCTAAATTCTTTGCTAGTAAAATTGACATTAGAATTTCCTCAAAACTAACATTCTCCGTTGTACGATTGTAATAATAAGAAAAAAAATACGTTCATTAATCAACGAATATCATAAAGAAAAAATGTGCAAGATTCGAGTTGAGGAAATAAAATTTTTTTTGCACTGCATTAGATAACCGAATGCAAGTAAATTTCAATTAAAAATATAATATTTGTAAAAAATAAATTGAAAATAACTATTCAATATAATAAATCTTTACATAATTCACACTATTAAAATTCATAATTGACAAAAGTAAAAAGTTTATTATTAGTTGTTGTGCTCTATGAAAAAGAAGAATGGCTATCATTCCAATCAAAAGAGACCATAAAAAATTTTGATTAATAACTACACATCAACAATTATATAGAGAAAGTAAAATAGGAAGAAAAATAATTTATAAACACATAGTTAGTATGTGATCTGTGAGTGATAAATTATGGATTCATAATTGAGATTTAAAGAGTAAGAAAGCTCTTATATAGTTTTTTATTTATTTTTATTTCCTTCATTTGTGCTAAAACTTTTGTTGAAAAATATCAAATCAAAGAAAAATATTTATATTATGGATAATAAAATGTCCTAATTATGTATTTGATTAATAAAATATTTAAATATTGCGATTATGGATTGAATTTATTATTTTCAAAAGAATTTTTTAGAAATACAATACTATTTTTAATATGTATTACTAGGTTTGAAAATATTTAATTGTGTTAGTAATTTTATTTTTTAGTCAATTCTATCTATTAATATTAATTGACTTAATAAAATATGTCATTTCAAGTAAATTATATATTCTAATAGTATGGTAATTTCTTTTAATTGTGTGTAAATATTTTTATTAATTGTGTGCTAATAATTAGTAATCATTGTATTCAGTGGAAATTAATTGACTTAATATTTGAAAGCAATAAGAATTATTAATTATCTTATTTAGAAGTTATAAATTGAATATTAAGGTTATTGTTCACCACAAATATAAAAACGTAAAAGTAAAATGCAAAATCGAATGTTTATCATCCATTCACAGTTAGGTATTGAAAAATGATTTATTTATTTTTTTTTGCATCATATTTTATCAAATTAATATAAATTAATGGTTATTAAAAAGTTGATGGATTATTATAAAATGACTTTTCATCTAATACTGATTAATTAAACATTAGTTAATGGGAATATTTTTTTTTCTTTTTGTTTTTATTTTTACTGTTATGTTTTATTTTCAATGAAATCTTTTAGGAATGCCTTTTAATCTATAATATTAGGTTTAAAAAAATTTAAGTGTATTTATAATTTTATTGTTATTATAAATCTTATATATTAATATGAATTGATTTAATAGTCTATGCCATTTCAGGTTAATTATATATCTGGTATTGTTATAATTTTTATTTTGTTTTTATATAAGTTTTTATTAATCATATACTAATAATTAGTAATAATAGTGTTTAGTGGAAATTAATTGAGTTAATTTAAAAGATAAATAATTTTAATTTTAATAATAATTGAATTTAGTTGAAATAAATTTAATTTTAAGGTATTATTGGCCATAAACATAAAAATATAAGGATAAAATGGAAAAGTAAAGACATGAGGATAAATGAAAGTATATTGGACTTAAAACTAAATATGTAAAGGTACAATTGGTAATTAAAAGTTTCTTCTCAATCCCCACTTTTAATATATTGTAGATGAAGTGCTTACAAAGAGAAGCAATTATGGAGAAAGATAAAGGAAAAGAGGTTGCTAATTACAATGGCTTATTTATAATTACTTATTTTTGCCTTTTCATTTTGTAGATACAATACGTTTGGGATATTGGAGTTTGTAAGAATAATATAAAAATATATCCTTTGAATTTTGTATTATACTTTGCTTAAATGTGTGGTCGTTCATCCTCATTTTGTGCTCATGAATGGTGTGAATAAGGAGTAAAGTTAGAAGACCAATTAAAATGTAATTCTACGTTGTCTTTGCACAAAACATCCTTACCTTTAAATTGAAATTGTGTAAAACATCCCTGCCTTCTAACTTTACCCCTTATTTACACCATTCATAAACACAAAATGAGGATGAACAACCACACATTTAAACAAAGTATAATACAAAATTCAAAGGATATATATCTGCATTATTCTTACCAACTCTAATATCCCAAACATCTTGTATCTACAAAAAGTAAAGGCAAAAATAAGTAATTATAAATAAGCCATTGTAGTTAGCATCCTCTTTTCCTTTATCTTCCCTCATAATTGCTTCTCTTTGTAAGCACTTCATTATATCAAATGTTACATTAAATGAATAATATTTCCTTCTATTCCTTTGCAGTGAAATCTGGGAAAGCAAAGGAATGATGCAAAAAATATATTTTGAATTTAGAGAATCATTACAAAATATAATTTGAATTTCATAGATAAGTTGCAGTGAAATCTAGGAAAGCAAAGAAAAATAGGTTTGGACAATGTTACCCTTGCCTTCTAAAAAGAAAAATTCCATTTTAATTGATTTAATGGTGAGTGAATGGAAGGACGTTTTTCACAATAAAAGATAAAGGTGACGATGGAATTTGTCAAAAAACGAAAGGTAAGGACGTTTTCCACAAAAACTATGAAAGATAAGGATGTTTTGTACTAATTACCCTGCATTTTATATGCAAGATGGGCATTTCGATATTTCATTTTTAACAACATCAAATTTTGCTGTCAAACTGGGACCCATTCTACAGTAACAATCAATTAATTGCTCAAATTGGGAGAAAAGCTCTCCCAAACATGCTCTTACTAATCAACAAATTGGAAATCTTCTTGCTTCGCTCAATCGCAAGCCCAATTTGCACAAAAATTAAAGGAATTTTGCTGATTGTACAAGCCATGTTTCATAGCGCTTGTACAAACCACTCACATGCCAAGGTGGGTGGATGATGATGATGATGATGATAATAATAATAATAATATCACCCACCCCTAACATTGTGAGTGGCCTGTACAGCAAGCAGATCTCAAATTAAAGTTGGTCAGTAAATCCCCTCCCACACCCACCCATTTAGTCACTAAAATTTATAATAATTTCTCACAATTGGTAACTCGGATAGGAAAAACAACGATATGATGCTACCGTATGGTCTAGTTTGTAAAATTCAATGCAGAAAGTCATTAATATTGCAAAATGACTCGTTACATTTTCATCACTTCACAGAAAACACGAGATAATGTATTTTATTAAAATAATACGTATACCCTAAAGGATATAATGCTGTAAAATGAAAGAAACTGAAGCTATAGGTTGAAATTTTTGCCTTCGAAGGTCTGACCAAATTGCCAATCACTAGGGGCAACGTTGTGTGAAACTATGGTTCTGCCGTCGCCAGTGGTTATACGGAAACTTAGTTTCTCGCCAACAAGTGTTGCACTGGTATCCCACTTGGTACCCCAATTATGATTCAATTCTGTCCAATGATTCAATTTCTTGTGACCTTTGACTTCCACCTTTTTTACATTTCCTGCCCCTCCAACGTTCGATATCGACACCATGTTGAAATAAGGACTCCCTGTTACGGTAAATTTAATGCCTCCTTGTTTCTTGCAATGAACCCTGCAACAAAATTCAAAATTTGATATTATAGCTCACAAAATACGTTTATTCGATTTTTTTATTATTTGATACCTTCGAAATAGAATAGGAACGACTCCAGCAGATTGTTCAGCAACCTTAGTAAATGCGGGCTCGGACAAGTCGAAATGGTGGGCGGGCGGACTGCACCAGCCGCCGGGAGGGCAATAATTGGTGGCGGTAACATAAATGGATGATGCTCCGGGTTTGCACATTTTGTTTTTCTTGTCACATTTGATTTCATAGCAAGCTCCACAATTTGACCCGTTTTTGTACAATACAGTGCTCAATGCCACTGTATGCAACCCATATTCTTTTATCGGGTCTTCGAAACCGCAGGCACCTCCTGCAAAAAGAGTAGGATGACAAAGTTTTCTTCATGCCTCTCACACACTAAAACAGACATCGAGAACTCATTCGACAAAACTTTTGAAACGTCAAAATCTATTTATGAGATTAAGAAGTTGATTTTGAACAAAAGAGATTTTAAAGTAAATTGACTTAAATTAGGTGAGGAATCTCTTCTATGTGAAGCAGAAAATTGTCAAGCGGGGCTCTCAAATCCTGATGACCTTTTCATTATATATTATGATTCGTAGGTAAAGCAAATACAAGAAATAAATTCTAGAGAATTTGTTTCGAATAATGAAGTTTGGACTTCAACGTTTTTTAGTTTTACACATGGTTATATATTTTCAAAAAAATAAATAAATAAATAAATAAAGGCAAAAAGTGGATATACCCACGGTTCCCGAGGCATCGGCTCCACCGTAGAAGGTTGCACGACCCTTCTTCCACGGACGTAATATAGATTGATGCAGCGACCTTGGTTTTGGAGCTTTACCTATGGGGAAGGCATTTGTGATAGGCAATGCAAGCACAAGAATCAGCAAAGAAGATAACACAAGTGCTTGCAAAATACCTGCCATGTTTTTTTGTTCAGTTTCTTGAATTTTTCTATGTCGCTCATTGGTTTTATAGCTGTTTTAAGAATTGATGGATACCATGCATTAATTTAAGCTCCGAATATTCGCAATTGCCGATGGTTACTTGCTAATTTTAGCCTCTGTTGAGTAAAAACCTTTTGCACCACAAATCTGGAGAAATAGATTCAACGGTACTTGTATATGCATGGCAAATTTTGCACGGATTTGTGTACGTCAAACAAAATTATTCTTTATATAATATGGGTTTATATTTTTAAGAGAAAACTACGATTAATATTTATTCTTATTGAATTAATTGGTATACATCCATTTAATGTAGAGAATTTACAAAAATGCACCCTCTTTGTGGGATGTACTTAAAGTTTACATAGCGTGTTTTGTGAATTTACGTATACATAAAATATGTTATACTAGCGTGGTAATAAAAGCTAAAAAAAATTGATAGACGTGTCATTAAAATAGTTAAATACTGATAGAAACTTGGAGTCCAGTCATAAAAGGGCATCAGCATACTTGTAGAAGATTCATTTCTCATCGCAATAAAAACTCTTTTTGCTCCGCTTAACTTTATGCCCCTAGAGCATTGACGTACGCAAACATTTAAAGTCGGTGGAGCACAATAAAATTTATTAAGAAGTTACTAAAAATTATATATTCTATAAAAACACATACGGGTGATCACTATCACAGATTCACAAATATCATATATATGATAAATAATAATTCTCGAAGAATTCCAAATAATCTCAAATATATGATGAATAACAATTTTCAAAGAATTCTCAAGTTAAATATCACAAACGACAAAATAATCTCAACTTTCACTCTCAATTTTCAGTCATCGTTGTAACTCTATTATAATAAAAACGCCCAACTACTATTACTGCCCAATTATGATATTTGGCTCTAAAATCTCCCTCCCAAAAAAAAATAAAAAAAAAAAGAATTTGAAGAAAGAAGAAGAAAAGAAATTCATGAAGTTGGTGGATCACTTGACCCATCAGACCTTGAGTAGGTCCGCCAATGCTAGAGGGGGATCTGAACTTGGTGGGTGGGAAATTCTGATGATCAAAAGAATAGTGACCCACCGGACCTTGAGTAGGTCCGCCAATGCTAGAGGGGGATCTGAACTTGGTGGGTGGGAAATTCTGATGATCAAAAGAATAGTGACCCACCGGACCTTGAGTAGGTCCGCCAATGCTAGAGGGGGATCTGAACTTGGTGGGTGGGAAATTATGATGATCAAAAGATCTCACGCACATTCTATTAAGTCTTTCTTTACACTTCAAGCATCTAAATGAAAGTCCAATTCATGAATATGCAAATTTTTTTGTTTGTTGTAGTAGGAAATTCGTCGTCAACCTTATCTTATGTTGTGCAGAAGGGCGAGTGATGAAGAAAGAAGTGATATAAGCAAGACAAAATTCTAAGTAAAATTTTTAGTTTGTTTAGGGGTTCCGAAATTTAGCCAATTTTTTAGTATTTTGAAAATAATCTATTCGTAACAGTAACTTTAAGAAATTCTTCTTTTTTGAAATTCACGTGAAAATTTGACATTAGAAGACTTGAATCAAGTGGCCCGAGACCAATGTTTCTACAATTAATCTATTTGTACAAAGTATGTAGATAAAGTTTGTTGACAAAATAGGTGTGGGCAAATTCTAGGTCGTTGATTTGTTTTGATTTCAAAATCTAGTTTTGAAATAAGTAATATAAATCTTGCAAACTTAACTTTTGTCAACCTCTTTTGTACGCAGAGCGTCACTCAAAATATAATATTATCAAAAATAAAGGTTAAAAAAAAAAAAAAACTTCTAAAAAATATTCTCTCAAATTTTAGTAGGGCCAGGACCGACCTCCGCCATTAATAATATTTGTTTGGATGTAAGAAATATGTTTGTCACGAGCATATTCGAGTTATAGGGAAAATTGATTGTTGTGGCTCACTTCTAATTTTTTGTAACTCTTCAACATGGAGGACTAATTTCTGTGGTATCACTTGAATCCTTACTTCCTCACCAACTTATTTAGGATCACGAGTTCACAAAGATTTTTCTTAGTCAATATTGATTCTCATTTGTTCGGCTTATTTGTAATAATTGTTACTTTTAAGAATTATCAAGTGTCCCACAGCCGTTTCGTCTTATTGAACGACCGAATTGAATGGCCTAAAATCCTTAACAGGCTTACCGACCTTGTTGTTCAATGGAACAGTTCATGATCGTGTTTATGCACAAGATCATATCAATGTATTTTTATAATTTTTTGTTTTCAATCAAAAATACTTATAATTCACACATTCGTAAAATTCACGATAAGCTGCTTATTAATGAGTATTGCTTTTCTACGGACCCACAACTTATAAGCATTGAAAAGTCATACCAAACATAATGAAAAATGTAAATTCAAAGAATTTTTTGGAAAATCTTGTTGATCGAACTACCTACTTAACTTTTGATTCTAGAATAATCTCGATTGAGATATCTAACGTGGAGATTTAGTCCCTGTTTGTATCCAATTTTTTTTTTCCCAACCATAATTCATTTTTGGAACATTCAGCCGCAATTTTTGAATTCCTCTCTCACAATGAGTCTCAGCTGCCGGCAAAAAAATGTCAAAAATGAATTATTTTGAACAAATAATTGAAAACAAACGGAAACTTAGTACTACTACCAATACCTATCAACTTGACAAAAGAAGTCATTTGGTACACGATTTCTGATATGACTTGTTGCCTTCATTTCTAGAAGAAGTTAAAAATAAGAAATTGAAAATTATATCAAAGGAAGTGATTGACCTCGATGACATCACAAACTTTCTAGAAGGATAACACACGTGGTTTTACTAATTTTTGAGATATTATTGACGTCCATTCACGTGGAACTAAACGAAATAGAACAAATATACCTCCAAATTTCAATAATGTCATTTAATACTATTAATATTAAAATATCAGTATAGGTGATATTAATGTAACATTAAATGAAATATACAATTAAATAAATTATTTAATTTTACCATTCATTTTGCAATATCAGTGACGTTGAATAGCATAATTGCTAAATTTTGGCATAGTTTGGACATCACTGTGTAAGAACTATATCCACAGTTCATGAATAACAAGACAAATAACAATTCTCGCGAGGAAAAAAATATACGATCTTATGGTTGCCTGAAGTCCATAGTGTTGAGAATTGAAAATCTAATTCTACTACCAAGAGCAGTAAAATCGTAGAAAGAAAATAGATACAAGAACATTCAAGATTAATGAAGGTTCATATCAATGTGAGACTATGCTCATTTCCGTCGCTTCAGTAATTCAAGATGATAAAAAAAATTTACAAGAAAAAATTGCACACCCTATCGTTCAATGTTAATAATTAAACTGCACAACTTAACACCTAGCATCTTTTGATATTTTTAATTATTAAAAAAAAAAAAAAAAGGGAGCAATCTTTGATATCCTTGGCCACTCTATTTTTAAGATTGCGACTGTGGAAGGAACTCCTTGGCGTAATGGCTATATAACAAGAAGGGAAGTGCGCTAAGTAAGTCATGGGGAATTCTTCGAGTTCTTTCCAGTCATCAACCCTCGGACAAATTATGACAAGACTTGGATTTTCCCCCAAAAAATTAACGTGTGCGGTCTAAAACTATTTCTATTTTTGGATATGTGCAAATAGACAATAAGGTTTTGTACTGGTTCATCTTTTCCTTCTTGATCGGGCACTAAATTTCGGACTGTTTCGGACTGGTCTTTTCATCTTTGGCGATAACCCTGAGAAAATACAATATTTTCCTAGTGTCCTAATCAATGCTCGATTATTTCAAGAACCAGGTCCAACGTATTTCGCATTCTGATTCCGCTCCTTTAGCTTATCATTAGAAGTTCATCTCCAGTCAATCCATTAATGGATTTCGAAATCCATCAGCTTCACTTTCTTCTTGTGCCATTAATGTCTCAAAGCCATATTATTCCTTTGACAGATTTCGCTAAACTACTCGTGCGTCGTGGCCTGATTGTTTCTATAGTCACGACGCCCCGCAATGCGATCAGGCATAAGGCGGCTATTGGTCATTTGGTCGAGGCCGGCCTAAAAATACAAATGATTCCATTGGAATTTCCATCTCAAGAAGTTGGATTGCCTCATGGATGTGAAAACATGGATGCACTCACTTCTATGGAATTGGCAATGGACTTTTTTGAAGCATCTGAGATGCTAGAAGTTCCATTGGAAAAACTTATTGGAGAATTGGAACCAAAGCCCAGTTGTATCATTTCCACTAATGCTCTACCTTGGACACAAAGAGTTGCCGAAAAATTCAACATTCCTAGGTATATTTTCGAAACAATTTCATGCTTCACTCTCTTGTGTTCTAAGATCATGTCTCGTGCCAATGTCCTAGATGACATGATTTCAGAATCGGATCCAATTTTGGTGCCGGATATACCACACAAAATCGAATTTATCAAGTCCCAGTTGCCTGAAGCGACGAAAAAAGCTTCACCAGATGATGTTAAAGGGATTATAGATCAAATAAAACAAGCTCAGAATTCGGCTCGTGGGACTCTGGTGAATACTTTCGAGGCATTGGAGCCATTTTACGTGGAAGGATTGAGAAAGGAAAGGAAAAATGTTTTGTGCATCGGTCCAGTTTCTTTATGTAACAAGGAACTTCTCGAAAAATCTAATAGAGGAAGTAAAGCCTCCATCGATGAGCACTTTTGCATGAAATGGCTTGATTCAATGAAGCCAAACTCGGTTGTCTACGCCTGCTTTGGCAGCCTTTGTCATATATCTTTTCCACAGCTAAAAGAAATTGGATTAGGATTGGAAGAATCCAATTTTCCTTTTATTTGGATCATCAGAGGACAGAATTATTCAGCAGAAGTAGAAAAATGGTTATCAGAAGAGGGATTTCAAGAAAGGGTCCAAGGCAGAGGCCTAATAATCCGCGGATGGGCGCCTCAAGTGTTAATATTATCCCATCCCTCCGTGGGAGGATTTTTAACACATTGTGGTTGGAATTCGACCCTGGAAGGAGTATCAGCTGGGGTGCCTATGATCACATGGCCTATGTTTGCAGAACAATTCTATAACGAAAACTTTATCGTAAATGTACTAGAAATTGGTGTAAGAATTGGGGTTAAGGTTGGAATGAAATCTGGAGAGGAAGAAGCAATGGTGAAGAGGGACAGTGTAAAGAAAGCCATAGAAAAGGTGATAGGTGAAGAAGAGGAGATGAAACTAAGAAGGGAAAGAGCTCGAAAACTTGGAAAAATGGCAATGGAAGCAATGCTAGATGGGGGTTCTTCTTACAAGAATATCACATTGTTGATTCAAGATGTCATGCAGAAAGACATTCTGGTACAGAATTGATTAGATCTTTAAACCTGAATATATAAGAATGCACATGATAAGGTTGAATAAATTGCGCTCAAATTCATGACTGAACTCTATGGGCATGTTTTCTAAGGTGGTATAGATGTTATTACTAGTATCATTTATTGTAATGTCCAGTCTCGCTCTGAGTCGAAAGCAATTTCACATTGTTGAATGTTGATTCAGGATGTAATGCAGCAAAATGAAGTGACAAAAAGAGAGATTCTAGGTCGAGATTTAAGAGTTCTTGTAACCTTAATGTATACACGTATGAGTTAAAGTATAATACATTGCATTCACTTCATTACTAAACTATACGAGAACATGTTGTAAAGGATGTTGACTGCTATTGAAAAAAAAAAAAGCCCGAACCTCGTCCAATCTAGTTTTCATTTATGTTTGGTATCGTTGCTAAGTATTGGATTCAAATGCAAAATTATTTTATTAGGAGAATGTGTTGCTGAAATTGAATTTTGAGAAAAATGAATTTTAAAAAATGGAGGGCCAAACATGGGCTAAAGAAGTTTTATACATTATTGCTTCCCATTATATTTTCTAAAAATAAAAGTACTTGTACAATAAATACTATGGCGTTTACAAATTTAACTTTCTTTATTTTCCATTCTCTAGAATTAATTTAACTTTTAATTAATCTGAAATTCTTTTTATTATTATAATCAGCTATATTTACTAAAAAAAATTTACAAATAGAGAGTGCTTATTACTTAATCAGGGGCGGACCATAGTACTTAACAACTGGGTTAAAGCCCATTTTGAAGTATGGCCCCCTTTTATTATTATTTTTGTGTGGGGTGCAAGGGGGCGGGGGGATTACTTAACTACAAGATTATAAAAATCAAATTTCATAACTAGCAATATTATAAAATAGTTTCAAAAATTAAGTGATAGATAAAATTTAACAATATAGAATAATATATTTAATATATAATATACATCTATTTCTCTCTGCCACAAAACACACACACTTTGTCTCTCTATGAATAAAAATCAGAAAATCAATTGCTGTTAACCGTCGTCCTCGGCCAAGACCACCACACCGGTGACCACCACCAGGGCCGGTCCTAGGCTGAGGCATTTGAGGCCTCAGCCTCAGGCCCAAAACCCTTAGGGGGCCCAATTTTGCTTCAAATATTTTTTTTTTTTTTTTTTGGGATAGTTTTGGATTTTGGATGTTATTTTAATTTTGTATTGTTTTCGTAAACTTGTAATGCTCAAATTTTTGCGTACATAATTGAAAATGTTATTAGATTTTTACGTTGATTTCGTCGGGGGCCCAATTTACGGACCTCGCCTCGGGCCTCCATTATCACAGGACCGGCCCTGACCACCACCATCAATTCTCATACAGCATATTTTGAGATTGATAATTCAACTGACTTTCCCTCAAATCCCTCGCATTTTTAATATTTTCCAAAGGCACAACCCCTATATTCAAACCATTACTAACTGTTTCACTAGTACCTGAATCCAAAGAAGCTCGCAAAAACTTCATTTCATTTCTGGACTCACAATGCCCAAGAACACCATTGTTCACATCAATCTTACTTGATCCTACCACATTATTTGTACTTCCACACCAGTGAACCAATTGTCTGCATATGTTGTCATTGTTTGTGACCAAATCTATGTTTGATCAATTGTGATCAATTTTGTCTTTATCGTGACCGTCTATGATCGAGTCAATCTTAACTGTGATAGTGTGTGACCAAATTAGATAGTGTGTAACAAAATCACTGTTAATTTGGTTACATACAGTCACAACCAGCCATAATTAACACATAATTGGTCATAGAAATCAACACTAATAAATTCGCACACACCAGAGATCAATACCGCCAGCCACAACCACTATCGCCTCCAATGCACTACCACTACCACCTTCAACTCAAATTCAAGACCATAAATATTATCTTCCCCTCAAACCCCCCCAATAACAATCACTACCATCATTACTTCCACCTCTACTTTAAGTCCATCACACCCTCCACCTCCGATTCATATATCTAAATGAAATAGTCAATAATTGTAGGCCAACCAATCCCATCGATTCAAATATGTATACATAAGATGTACTGAGAAAACAGATATGGTCGATACCACTAACGAGAAGGATAAATAGTTAAAAAGAGAGAAAATTTTCTTCATTATGTTTCTATTCATTATAGAGAGAGAAATATAGAAATAGCTAGAAAAAAAAAATTAAATTAGAGGGGAATAGAGAGATGAAGTGAGAGCCCCCCCCCCCTTTTTCCTTCATAAAAATTGCCATCTCTTCATTTTTAATAATTGGCCTATAAAAGATTTAGCTCTTGTTTGGTTCACCTAAAAAATTTGGTTAAAATTTAAATCAAAGTCAATCAATTTTAATCAACATTCCATCAACTTTTATTAAAATCTATTAAAAGTTTGATTTTTATCTAAAGGGGCTTTGAAAGAGGTAACAATCTTTTGATTTTCGGACAGAAGAAATTACTATGAAGAGTAAAACCATCAGAAGAGAGTTTTATCCCAATAGAGAGCTTTTGAGAACCATCATTAAGGAACACTACATGAAATATCATTTTCAACAATCATTTAAATAGTCGTAAAATATTAATTTTTGATTGTTGATTACATTCAACGACCAAAATCAGTTGGTCGTTCCTTGGTTGGTAAAGAGGTGTTAGCGAATGTATTCAACAACTAAAAATACATTTGATTATTAAATGTATTATTTCAACAACTAAAAAATTGGTTGTAAAAAGTTTGTATTGACAACCAATTTCTTTTTTTCAACAACCACTTATTTGATTGTTGTATCAACTATTTTTTATTGTTGAACTACAATGAAAGGAACCAAATTTTAGTTATCTTGTATTAATTATGTTTATTAACACTACAAAATGGCACGTTTTAAAGACAGAATTTTTAGCTACATTTGTTCCCAATTTTCTAAACAAATTTCCAACAAAAATAAATCCATCGAAAATTTGAATTAAAAAAAAAAAAGTCACCAATTATTATATTAATAGATATTTTGACAGGACTTCTTGATTTGGTGCCCACTCACAACGACCAATATTAATTTGGTCGTATAAAATATATGATTAACAACTAATTTTTTGGTCGTTATAATATGTTTCCAACTAATTCAAAATTCGATTCTTCACCATCCATTTTCTTCGACCAAATGTATCGTTTAGTTGTTAAAAATAGTTTTTAGTGACCAAATTGACGTCGAAACATTAGTTGTAAAATATCAAATTCCCTATAGTTTGTACTCCCCTTGTCTATAAAGGTTTTTACTGTGTGATCTCTTAAAATAAAACCTTCTTATGCACCATATACAAATCGCAAACAAAATGATAGGGTCCTATAGAGACGTCAATGAACTCGCTCCAAAAAGAGTATGATGTGATCCAAGAGTCAAGCTTGAAAAAAGTTAGTTCTGAACAAGAGCCATTGATAATTGAAGGCAGGCCGATGACGCGATCAAGGGCCAAACGAGTGAAACAAGTGATGTGATCATTTGTTCAAGAAACGATTGACAAAACATTGTTCGGGATGCAAAACGAGGCAACTTTCATGTTGGAGTCGAGAGTCGAAGTGAATTAGATCAACATGATACAAGCAAAAAAAGACAAAGGCCAAAATAACAACTATGCGGTCGAATAGTTGCTCAAGGCATGCGACCGCATGCATACCGACAGGGAATTTCAGGTCACAACACAAGTGTTCTATGTGACTGCATTCCGTAACACTATGCAGTCGCATAGTTAAAAATGATGATGCGTTTTTTTCCTCTTTTCGCGAGATTGTTTACTTTGTTTAGAATTGTAATTTTTTTATTTATTATTATTTTTTTATATGGGAAACTTTTATTACTAGGAGACTTTAATTCCCTTTTTTCCCCTTATTTCTTTAGGGTAGTATAAATATGTTATTCGTCTTTCATTGTAGGAACACATCATTATTTGAGCATTTCTAATAGAGAGGCAATTTGTTTTCTTCATCTTGTTCTTCATTGAACTTATCAAGAATTCAATTCTTGTGGCGTTCTACAATCCGGGTGTGAGTTTTTAATAGTGTAATCAAGGGGTTATTTCAAGTTTTGATCTTGTTGGATTTTTTTTTTTTTTTTGTTTGGTTAGTTGATTTTGGGTTCAAACTCTCAAATCTCTTATTCGCTTTTTTGGGGTTCTAATAATCTAGTTGTAGGTTTCATAGTCAACGCTGTTACAGAGTTCACATCAGTTGGTATCAGAGCACAGACTCTAAATTAACAGGTTATATCTTTTTTGTTTTCTTCCTTGAGTCTTGTTCTTAGCTTTCCGCGTTTTGTTAATTTTCTTTTCTTCATTATTCGTTCTTAAGTCTTTCAATTGTGTTTTCATTATTCTTGTATTTTTCGTCGTTTGAGTCGTTTCGTTCGTCAAATTATCGTCAAGTTTTCCCAAAAGTGTTTTTGGACACCCTAAATCCACTTTTGTCTAATTTGTGGGTAGTTAATTCATTGTTATTGTTTTAGTTTACAAAAAAAAAATGGAGAAAAAAATTATTATATTGTTACTCTTCCTTTTGTTCAATTTACTGCAACCATATTTTATTTCGAGTTTCGAGTTATTTCTTTCAAGTCGAGTCAATTACTTTGAAGTCTTAGTTCCATTAAATTAGTTGGTCTCATTATTTTTTTTTTCATCAAATTCGTGTCAACCTACTTGGGTTTCTTATTCCATTAAAAGAATTCTTCGAGTCCTTTTGGTTTCACACTTTTTGATTTACATTCGGTTTAGAATTCCATGATTTTTAAATTCTTCTAACTCATTATTGTTTTTTGAATCGCTTGGAAGAAAGCACGGAGTGGTAAAAGGCAGAATTGTGAGTTTAATAGAGATTTCAAGTTTCGAGTTATTTCTTTCAAGTCGAGTCAATTACTTTGAAGTCTTAGTTCCATTAAATTAGTTGGTCTCATTATTTTTTTTTTCATCAAATTCGTGTCAACCTACTTGGGTTTCTTATTCCATTAAAAGAATTCTTCGAGTCCTTTTGGTTTCACACTTTTTGATTTACATTCGGTTTAGAATTCCATGATTTTTAAATTCTTCTAACTCATTATTGTTTTTTGAATTGCTTGGAAGAAAGCACCGAGTGGTAAAAGGCAGAATTGTGAGTTTAATAGAGGGGAAAAAGCCAAAACTTGTGAGATTTCCGAGTGAAAATCGGTGAAGCATAAAAATTCTCATTTTAGGATGTCGGAAAGAAAAGATTCCAATTCAAGCCGATACGGAAATCCCAACAATTCATCGGATGATATG